CTACATAGGTAGCAATTTTATCTCTTAAGAAGAATGAAGATGGAACATTATGTGGCACTTTATGAGCTTTCTGAATATCACTTTAAGTCCTTTGTGAACAGCACAAATACATGGTGTGCGTTGTGCACGTCTGCACTCACTGGTGTGGTAGCGTAGAGTATGAGCCTCAGAGTTGCTCTGTTTTTAGGAAAGCAAAATTGTTTAAGTGTGAATGAGACATGACAGATTGGGTGTGATTTGTGAAACCCTGGCCTGTTAAACCTCATCTGCCATGTGACTTCCCTCAAACAGTTCTGTGGCCTGACTGCCACAGCCAGTCAAGCCACAGAAGGAGGCATCGCTGGGTTCAGCACCAAAGTCCTGGTGTGACCATCATCATCTATGGTTGCACGAAGTGTAGTTTACTATAAAATAGCCTGGACTCTGCTATCAAAATGCTCAAATGAGAAATCTGGGTAAACAAAAGATACCTTGCAAGCCTTGCTTGCTTGTATTTTTGTTTAGGTTGACGTTCTCTGAGCTGATGTAGTAGGATTCATCTTCCCTTCAAATAAAATTTATCTATAAAGATAGACCTTCATCTGTACATAATTCCCCCACCCCCCCCTCCTTGCTGCACTAAGGAATGGCTAAAAGCCACAGCATATCCACAGTGCAAGTTTCATTTCTCTATGGGTTAAACCAGTTGGAAATTAGTCCAGATTCATTCACTTTGCATGTCTCAGACCCCTTGGGTGTGGAAAATAAACGAGGAAACTGCTGACTGATGCTGAATGGCTTTCTTAGGGAAGCCTTACAAATGCAGATAAGGGAGGGCAAGAGCATTGATAGTGAAGAATAAAAAGTCATAAAAGACATTTATGTTAAAGTACTGTCTGCCTAATCATAGCTCAGGCTAGGATGTCCTGAATTGCTGCTTCAGATGGCACAGGTTGCTGCTTGCTGCTTCCTTTCCAGTATCTCTCCCCAGCATGGTGCAGCAGGATGGGCTCAAGCTAGCATGTCCACAGTGCTTCAGGGCCAGGGAGCTACTGGGCTTCTCTAAGTGACAGTAATTTGGGAACCCTATGGCAGCTGTTGCTGGAAGAAATAGTGATTTTGCTGGCTAGAAGTTACAGTACTGTATCTAAACTCCCTAAGAAGCTCCAAAGTAGCATAGGCTGCAAGAACCAAAGTGGGTAAACTACAAGGATGCATTCAAACTCCTCCTTGGGAAGAATGACAAACCTGATGTAAAGCTTAAGAGCCCAGGGATGAAATGTGAACCAGCTTCTGTTTCTAGTAAATGTTGTTTGCAGTTTTAGTGGCATAAAGAACAAAACTGTTGTGGGTGTAACTCCAGAGACAAAAGTTTTACTGGCACTCTCGGTTGAATGGGTGGACTGATGATTCTTGCAAACCTTAATGAGAAGTAATCAGTACAAATTCCTCAAATTAAAGCAAAGCAGGTAATAAGGTTCTTCAAGTTTCTATCTTTTCCTCTGGAAAAAACATCAAGGACAGGCTGGATGGGGCTTTGAGCAACCTGGTCTAGTGGAAGGTATCCCTGCCCATGGCAGGGGGGTTGGAACTAGATGATCTTTAAGGTCCCTCCCAAACCAAACCACTCTATGATTTTATGGTTAGATCCATTTTGTAGGGCTGCAAATGGCTCCAAACTCCATCAGTTTTACAATGGTATAAAATGCTAGTGATGAATCTGGAAGCCTAGAAGGACTGCAAGGACTAACTCCATCCAAGGTCAGAATGGGTCTGAGATTTTTCTGTAAAATATTAATTGTACATTCCATCTCCTCTGTAACACCAACACTAACATTATTACTAATACAATGTAATAATATTAACAAATAGTTAATATAAGTAATCACAATGATACGTCTCATTGTCTTCAGAAAAAGCAGGTCCTTAAGGAGTTAGCCTAGTGTGAAAGCTGCTGAGTAAATCCCAGTGAAGTACAGGTATGTGAAGTTTAAACTTCCCAGCCTGAAGTTGAATTCTGGGGCTGAAGAAGGTGATTACAACCCTTTTATATTGGTGCCTCAAAAAAGTCACAGGGAAAAACTAATTTCCTAATGTGCTCCTAGCTAGAAAATTGCCATTTTAGACTTTCTGTTGCTGATGATCTACTCTTCAGGAAAATAGGAAGAAATTAACACACACATAAAATCAGCTCTCGGACTTGTGTAGGTGCAGAAACAGTTAAATACCTTCCAGTCTAGATCATCAAAGGTAACTTAGGAGTTACATAGTCCCAGGCTAATAGTGCTCAACCCAATTGCTTTAATGACTGGAAGCAACAGTTGCTAGAATTTATTCTTTTCAGCCTTGCATTTTGCTTGGTTGTGAGTGATGTTTGTTCACAACATTTCTGAGTATCATAAAGAACTGAACTTGAGATTTTTTTGCTTAAGTTTGGAACAAATGCATTGTTTGAGAGCTCTTTCAAATGGTGACAGCTATTTTTAGATGGTCTGGACTTTATGGATTAAAGGGTCTTGGAAAGATACAAACTCACAGAGAATGTTGGCTCTTAAAACATACTGCTTACATTATGAAACACTAAACATTATGAGGAAGTGATGAAGGCTGGAATAGTAGCCAGATTAATAGTAGCCTTGACCAATAGTGGCCCTGGGCAAGATATTCCTTGCTATTTGCCCTATAAATAAACACTGGATTAGGAAAAAGGCCTGCCCTGGGGAAAGACACAAGGTTCTCCAGGGAAGCTAATCAATCATTTCACAGTATCTGTCAATCTGTCTTCCATGTAAGTACTCAAACCAAAATAATTTGATCAGGCATTTAGAAACCTTAATGGAACTTGAATGCTAGCCAACTGCCATAGCCTTTCTGATAACACCACCACCAGGTACATACAAGTGAACTCCAGATAAGAAAAAAAATCCCAACAGATAAAATAAAAAATGAAGCTAACTACTGTGATAAAAGCGACTGTGAAATCTTATGTACACCCTCCCACCTCAAACCCAAACATTCTTGAGTATGCATTGGCATGCAGCCTGCTGCCTGATCACACACAGCTATTTCTCTCCCCTCAGGACTCTTGCTCCATAAGGGCAATGCAGGGAGAACACACAACTGGGAAACTATTTATTATTGTTCTTCCTGGTTGCTCAAACTGTGCCTGTACTTTTCTGCTGTTCCAGGAAAAGAACCACCACTCCCTAATAGGCCACTAATTTCTCTGGAAATCTGCCCAGAAGTACAGTACAGTCTGTCTTTCAATATCATTTTGCTGAGTAGCATTCACAGCAATAAATAAGGTGGCACCAATGATGAGGGGAGAAAGGTTGAAAATTAGCCAAAAAATAAGCTAGTCAGCATTGAGGTGGGAACAGGGTCATGGCCTGCTCGAACACTGATCTCTGCTTTGGATTCACTACCTTGCTAGGGAATTTTGCATAGCTGGTCAGCCCAGAAGTGGTGGAGTTCTGGGTGGGTTGTTTTGAATTTTTTTCCTCACAAGGTAGCTTGTGGTTTAGGCTCTTACTCTTTAACTTGGTATTTAAGAGCACTTACTGAGGATGTTTATTCCTTATAATTCCTTCTTTACCTGAAGGAATTCAAACTGGTTTTTCCTACCTCCTGGGTAAAGGTTTTCTAAGCTCAGGTTTTCAGTTCTTCCATCTAAAATGTCCTGTTTTGCATGAGCAAATTTCATATTTATAGAAAAATGAACCAAGAGAGATTCTGTAGCTATAGGGGAGGAACAACCACCTGAAAATAGGTATGTTGTTCCAGTCACCTCCAGCTAATGCTCAAATGTTTTAAATATTCACTGAAAACAAGAGTTAATCCCATCTGAATGAATTCTATGCTCATGTACTCTGTTTCTCTCCTGCAATCATGCCAATCTGGCCAGTTACACCAGTAAGATTCCAGTCTTATTCTATCTCCTCTGTTCTTCTTCCCCCCATCCCAAATACCCTAATACATAAGTAAATACCACAGTACAATAAATATCTTACTCAACATGTCACTTGAAACTTTTGAAGTATCACCACACCCAATTACAAAATTGCAATAAATACTGGTTCTTGTAGGCCATCTAGTGGCAAAAACAGAATAGTACGAAGAGAAAGCCATTTCAAACTTTTCCTTCTTAAAGATGATTTAATATAATCTGCAAGACACCCAGGGTTATCTTGCTGATCAACAGATGTTTTTCTCACACAGCAGCAAGCAAGATTATTAAACTCATAATCCATGCTCTGAATGAGATACTCTCAGCTGGCAAAAATATACTCATCCATGATCACTTAATAACTAAACCATTCTACTGAAAAATCTACAGGCTCCTTTTTGTCTCTCTCCAGCATTAATCCTATGTGAGTTCTGTCTGAACAATGAAAAACCATACTATAAATCGCATAGAGAAGAGAGGATGTCTACTGAAATTTCTTTAAAATGAATTTTTAAACCCTCTATTGGGTGAGTGCAAGCCAATTCTGGGTTCCTGTAGTTTGCTTCTGTCTGAAGAACCTGACGGAAGATGTCAGGTAGTATAATGAACACAGAAGTTGTCATTTCACTGAACACTGCAGACAGCAGTTGCTTTGCTTAAAGCTCTCAGAGTCCTGAGAACACCCACCGGTTTTGCAACCCCTTCCCACTGTTGTAAGGATTTGGCAAGCGAGCTCTAACACTCTGACCTGGGATGAGCCTGGTGCAAAAAGGCTGCATGAGAAAGAGCTGTGGGCAGCCCTGCTGAAAGCTTCTGCCCCTTGGCTCAGCAGCCACATTTAAGCATGTTTAAGCCAAGGCCCTGAGCATAGGTCCTTGCTTGAGCTGTGCTGTAGGTATGTCTGTGCTGGGCCATGGATCTCACTTACCCTGACTTGCTGACATGACCATAACAAGTGAACACAGGTTACAGGCAGCCTCATGATTTGTGACTGTCACAGATGGAAATAAAAAGATTAATACTGTTAATGCTTTATTTATGGTATCTAAAATGAGAACAAAAATACACATCTGCTTGAATAAAAGTTTATTTCATGTATCATAGAAAAATCATTAATTCCATCAAATAAGGCTTTACAAGATAAAGGATATAAAGGAAAGACACATACAAATTCATAATAAATACACTGATTTTTCATATTACACAAAATATTCCTTATAGTTACACACTTAGGAACAAATTACGATTGCAGTTAGTAGACATTTCACTTGCAAGATTGATCCCTGTTTTTAAGGCTAAATCCTGCCTTATTTTTTAGATAGGAAAATTTTTAGAAATTTGTAGAAAGAACACTGGACTTGGTTTGTAAGTATCTTAGCTGCTACATTTATATGCAACTGTAAAGTATAATCCTCTTTTTTACACTTGGTTCTACTCAGAAGTCAAGCTAATATAGTTAATATAATAAAGTCGCCTATATTAAAAACAAGTTCCATTTACTGAATTTGGCTGATCTGACAAATATAAGGATAATCTGCTATATCATGTTTAAACTTGTAATTGCCTGGTAGTGTCTTTCTGTCACAGATAATGTTTCCTTACAGTTTTTTAACTAATCTATTTCACATTCTCTTACACAGTTGTTTCATGATAAAGAACAAGTTAGTCTTTTGCTTGAAAAACCTGAGAAACATACTAGCTTTATTCAGATATGGTACTTGAGTATAAAGTACTACAAAACAGAGCTGAGGTATAAACCTGAATTTTTCATGAACTCCAAATCCCTATTAATGTTAACAGAGTTTGGAAGCTGTGCAATAGAGTTATATCTGATTGTCTCATCTTAGTTCCTTTTCAGACACCACACAAACACACTGAACAAAGTTTTAACGAGGTGCACAGTGAAGCAAGAAAAAAAGAAAAGGTATTGCAGTGTATTGAATGCAACTGCTACGATCACATTACGTCAACATCAATAGGTTTCTCATATACATTAATCTGCTGCTTGAATTCTAGCTGCATTAAACTATCCAACAAGACAGAAAGAAACTACTATCTTTGCTATGTTAATGGCAAACTACATTTTGACTCAAAGTGAGAATTCTACCCAGTAGCTACCGGAGAAGTCAGACTATGCAAAGAAAAAATTAGATTTACATTCTTTTAAATACAAAGAAATGGAGTCAGCAGATACATGGAAACATCCAGTTACTCTCAAACAAATTCTTGGAGGATATATAAAACTAAATTTTAGAAACAGAAAGTAGAATCAGCACTTAACTATGCCCTCCAAACTTACTTACTTTACCTGGTATTTGAAATGCCTAGTTTACACTGCTTCCTCATATTATGTAAACCTCACAAGGTATAAGCACTCCAAACAGTGCTGAATGTACAAGAGAAACAGTTTCACAAATGGGATATAACGTGCTTTTTAGGCAAAAATGTCTCTTTGCTACCATGCCTCCTTACTATTTTGGTCAATTTTTCAAATGACAAAATAATCCCTGTCAACAACTTGATTATATACACATATTTATGACAAACCTAAAATTTGTTAAACCATTTGAAAAGGATAGGATTTTATGAAGCAATATACCTAAGCCTTTAGTCCTACCACAGTCTTCATTTTACAACAATAAATCTCATATGTTAAAAAAATAAGAATACAGTGTTTTTCCTTGTAGTAAACATGATTACTTCCAAGTTTATAAGCATAATCAAGACCTCCCTGAAAGAAAAATTAATTTTTTTATAGCTTGCCTTAAAGTGTCATCCAAGACAATTATTATGTTATTGAACATAAATTTTTGTATTAATGGTCCAACAGTGCAGAAGAAACACAGGATAAATCATTGTAAAGAAAGGGAACTGATCTGGCCTTCTGTCACATGCGGTGCACTATATCAGCTTAATTATGCAATGCTGGCAAATAATTCCCTTATAAATAGCAACACTGCACTTTGACATGATACTCAATCAAAAAAATATATTTGCTGAAATGAAGAAAATGTTCCTGTATAAATTGGAGTATAATTATAAATCAATTCTTTTGCTTCCTCATCTTCACTGGGGAAATGGTGCAGGCTCTTCCGGGCTGTAAAACATTGTAAAAGTACAGAACACTTTATTGTTATCCTCTTTGACAGTATCTTTCTTGCCAAAGTAAGTTATTCTATGTAGCATAACAGCAAATGGAATTACAGTATGTGTAGAACTGTGAAATACATCTTCAGAAAGCTGGTTACAGCATATTTTATTACTGAGGAGGAAGAAATTTAATTAAAGACTGTACAAAAATATTTATCTGTGAGGTACTGAAAGCATCTACCAGAGATACCAGTTATACCAGTGCTTGTAAGTAAGTAGTGAAAGAAATGCATCAGAGTATTAGCCTACTGAAAGTTGCAGTGTTAGCATGGACTGTGCTGGTCTGAATCCCTGTCTGGGTTATCATGCTGGCAGTTCTATGCAAATTAAAATTACCAACTGATGGATATGAAAATGGTATTTCAGTAGAATGGTTTAGTTACTAAGTGATCATAGAGGAGTATATTTTTGCCAGATGAAAACAGTTTACATCATTTACTTAATGGTTTATTTTCAAAGTTAAGGAAGACATTCTGCCTTACACTAGCTGGAAACATCAATTACTCATTGCAACATTATGACAGAAAGTACTCAGTAGGAGCAGGTGTACACAGATCAGGGAGGTAATGAAGAATAACTCGTGATTTGGCATATGAGATGGTGGGGGAAACACAGAGCTGGTTGACACAAGTTTGCTCTACTAGAATTGAAGGTCAACAGATCCAAAAGCTAGTGAAACATCTGTGTGGTACTATGTACAGGCTTATTAAATTTGTATACATATATAGAAGAACTTGAATGCACTGTGTCTCAACAGGACTTATAAACAGAACTGGCACTTATTTAGCCACATTTACTTGGATAATAGCCTGAGCAAGATTACTTCTGACTGTAATACAGTGTGCAGACAGATAATGGAGAACACAGCAAACAAAACTAGAAAACATGATGCATTCTAGTATTAGACTACAAAATTAAAAACAGACTCATGCTATACTTTCTCCTATTTTCCCCCTTATTTTTGTCTTAGTCTCCCATAAGTACCCTATCAAAATTCTGAAAATACAGGAAGTTTACGGATAGCAACAAGGAATTTTACGTTATGTTGCTACCTTTTCACAAAGGGGAGTAGGACGACATTATGCAAGAAAAGACCCTTGAACTTGTTTGAAGCACAACTTTATTTCTACACTCTCACTAAGCAGGTCAGCACAAACTGCATTTCTTTAAATCACTGTCTGCTTTATCCAATTAGGTGACTCTTTTGATTTGAGATCAAATCTACAGACCAAACTCAATTAGGTTACTGATTATGTTCTTCATAGTTCCTATTGATCAGGTAAGACAATTTCATAAAAATTATATTTCAGCAGAATGGCTCAGTAAGTATAAATAAACAAATAAATTAAATTAAGTTTGATCCTTTCAAATACTCCTGTATGTGTGTTCTGCTCATTTTCAGCAAAGAGACCAGAAGTGTCATAAATTATCAAAATTTTACACGTTATTTAGTTCCAACTTCTTAGGGTATAAACAAACAAATCAGAAGCCGTGTAAAATTCGAAAAATTCTTGGGCTGTGCGTAGTATACAACTGTTGGGCACCGTATTGCACCCCTCTGATACAACTGTATACTGCCCAAGCAGTATTTATAGTCTTGGTCCATACATTTTGCAAGCAAAACTGAGAATACATTGAATGATTCTAACAGTTTGGAACTCAAGAAATCTTTGGAATTATGAATGGACTAATTTTTTCATTTCATTGTCTTTGTACAAGGGAGGCTAAAATGTTACAGTGATCATTTGAAATGGTAAAATAGAAAGTCACAGCACAACAATGCTTTTGAGCCAGTCTACTGAAAAGAGTTTATGGAATGCCTGGCTTTTTGATGTCACTTTACTAAGACATTCTATTTCTAGTATCCCTTGGGTTTTTTATAAGTCTATAAAACTTGCAGAGCAATCTCCACAGAAAGCAGTAAGAGGTACTGAACTTTGACAGCTGAAAAAGAGGTCTGTCATCTTCAAAGATTTTCACTAATGCTCCACTCTAAAAAACAACATTATAGATAACAAAATTTTTACCTTCATTAACAAAGAAGTCAGCTATATAATATGCTGCTCTTACAGCTGATGGGGAGTGTGGAATGCCTGGTGAATTTTTCCACTCAAAAGGATTTTTCTCTGGATGCCACTGGACACCATAAATGGGATATTTGTATGCTGCAACAAACACATAATTCTTAAGGTATAGATCTTGCTTATGTGCATAGTCTTACTGCAAAAGAAACTTAAAGGATAAGCTACAAAAATACCTCACTTATCAACAGTTTCAAGAAAGCTTAAACAGCAAGCTGAAACTCTGTTAAAGCCACAGTAGAACTGAAGGAAAAAAATGGATATTTAAAAAGAAGGGTCTCATTCCATGCAAGAAGATTTATGTATATCACTTTTTAAAATTATTTCAGAATTTTTATATATATATACATATATATATATATATATACACACACACACACACAAAAATAATGTTACAGGTGTATCGGTCTCAAAACTTCCTAACTACTGCCAGCATCACTCAACATAAAATATTCACAGCCACAGAGGACATCCCTGTCAGTTCCATGGGACAGATCCAAGTTTTAGGATCTCCTCGAAGGCCCAGTCAATCCAAGGGCAGCTCCCATCTACTCTGTCCCAGGCCTGATATACGCAGTGGGGAGCCAGTCGTTAACTCTCTTACAGAGAATAGCAGCGAAGCAGCTGATGACTGCTCTGTGATAAACAGCTTGTATGCATGAGAGATGCGGGTCATTAGCCTGATCAGTTTTTCTAATCAAACTGTTATTCTTCTCTTCTGGAGGACAGCCAGTATTCCATACAGAAGAATCCCATGGGCGGACAGCTGGGCTTTACTGTAGAGCTGCTAGTAGTGCACTGATCAAGCTAAACCGCTCCCTAAAGAACTAACTTGCTTCATGAACCGAGCAAACCTGGCGCAAAACATATGCAATACAAGTAATGCAAAAGGCTTTGTAGAAGGGCAATTGCCAGTATTGCTGCTAAAATAGTAAGGGATGTTGCTATTGCCACAGTAACCTGAATTGTTCTTCCCGTATAGCAGACAGATACAGAGCATCACCGGAATGCAAGCACAAGCAGACAGACAGAAAGCAAGGTGCAGCATTGGCACGTTGTACTGTGGAGAGATTAAACTACTACAGGATAAGTGCTGTACACTTCATGTCACAGCACTTGACTATTCCACTGCTAAAAATGTAACATCATTATCTGGAAGGGGAACAGCGAGTGAGAGAAGTAAGTAATTAGGCTCATAGGTAGGTACTCAAAAGAAAAAAAAAATATTCCTGCAGAGTATGTTCCTCACAGCCAGAGCACTGACAGGGCTGATGCTCACTCTGCTATTCTAACAGCAAGCTTGCAGCATGAATAAACATCAATACCACACCACCTCTAAAGAACTAGTTTGTTACAGTCACAGTTTACAAAGGAAATTCATTTCCCTACCTTCCATGGTAGATATAAACTCCACTTCATCATCAGTGTTAGTAGTCAGAACATTATAGAAATTACGAAGCTTTTCATTCTTTGTGAAATTCTGTGATAAGAAAGGAGGAAAAAAAGATGTGTTATTTGCTCACTTAATTCTCATTTTAACAGAGCAAACGTATTTGTGTTCAGGAAATAAAATTATCAAATACCTCCATGGAGAGGCTCCAAACATGAAAGTTTGATGTCAATGGCTCAGTAGCAAAGGCACGTAATACATCATCAGGGAAGTTCTTGAATAATCTACTGTCTTTTGCAGCTATTACAAAGAAAAATGAAAAAAGGATATTGTCCATTACCCAAGCTGCTAACAGATGGACTAATAATGAACAGTAAACAAATTTAATAAAATAATGCATTAAACGTTTTTTCTTTAGTATGACTGTGATATTATGTTTTCTTTAGTATGACTTTGTGATATAGAATATGTTGCAACGAAAAATCAGTGAAATAACAACAGGTTTCCAATATGCTGTTACCAGTCATCCGGTCTTGACCCAGAAAATACCCAACTTTGCTACCTAAGTTGTCACTAAAACATCATTCATTACTACTCATTTCAGTGACCTTTCCATTCACAATGAGCACATATGACGGAATACATGGTCCGCAGATGGAATATTCACAAATTAAAGGATGAAATATCAATAGAGGCCACATTTTACCAGTGCTGCTGAGTGGCACAGCTCTATCTGAAGGGATCTCTCTTACTTCAATATTGTATAAGTGTTAATATTCATCATTAGAAAAGATGCAATTAGAACAATTTAAAATCATCTGCTCTCCAAGTCTGACAGGTTTCGGACCTGTAAATTTTGGTCAACTTGGTAACAGAAAGTGACCTAAAGCCACATTTTTGTAGGTCTAAATTATCAAATGACTCAAAGAGCCACAACTGTGGTTTTTGCTGACTGCTGTTGGTTTCAAATGGCTTGTGGTCACATCTCTGCTTTAGATGTGATAAAATTGCACTGACATTATAAAACAGTTGTGGCATCTCTAATAAGAAAGGTTTTAACAAGACGTCCCAAACATTCACCCCTGCATATTCATCACAAACAAAACACACCACCTTTCAGCAACTCAGACACGAGATGTAATGAATTTCTCACCTGAGGTAAAGTTCAGAGGGAGTGCAAAACCATCTGTCTTGGTATTAACAAGTAAAACTTCGCCACTTGTGAGATATGTAAGCTCTTCATGTCCAAGACATGTTCCCCATACTGGGAAATAATCTCCTTTATCGTTAGCCTTCAAAATGAAAAGCAACAACATTAAGAAAAAAGTACTGAAGATTTACAGAAAGAAGTCTGATGAAAACTTCCTTATCTTCTGCTTTAACTACTACAGTAGTACCAGTTGCTAACAGAGGAAATGTAGCTATTCAACTGCAGTTGAAATAACCAGACTCGCTTAGTTATTCTCCTAAAATATGAAGGCTAGGGGATGTACACATGTCCATCGAAGCAGTAAACTGACCCTAATGTTGATATTAATTTGATTGGTCTGTTCTACAAATACGTAATGTTGAGGGCAGTCTAAACAGAAATCACAAAATAGCAACATTTCTATTCAAAAGGGACACAAACCAGACTGTCACCATTTTGAGGTGCATTATGATCACATAGCAAGGGCTCTTCACAATGTCCGTATGCCTGTGCCCACCCATCTGTATTAAGAAAACATAAATCCTATTACTAACATGGCTACGGTCCTAAGTGACATGCTTATATGCTTGTTTAACTAGCAAGTTTGGACCTGTGTTCCAGAACGATAAATTGTGAGTTGAAGCAACCCAGAAAAGTGAAAATCATTTTCAAAAGAATAAAAATTGGCAGGTAAATGCAAAAAGAAAAGAAAGCAAAAGGGAGAAAGGAAAGCAAAAAGAGAACACAGATAGCTTCCTGTCACTTACCTAAGCACAGTGCATACATGTAGAATAAATTTGTATGATTTATTCCTGAGAGTAAGTGCCTGTTAAGAGACTGGGATGTCTCAGAACTCCTGTTTTTGTGAAATCTGAGTAGCCTTTCTAACTTGTTTCTAAACATTTTTAAACTACCCATACCACACCACACCCCTCCTCCCAAAGAGTTGCTGGCTCAAAAGCCATTTTTGAGAAACCTGGAATTACAGGCTTAGAATAAAGATGTTATCCTACTGCATTACTGACAGTATGGTAATAAAACCCCATATAACTACTACTTCTTGGAGAAAAACATGGAAGATGCACAGAAAGAAGACTAATAGTACCACAGAGTCTTCACAACCACCTATCATGTCTGGCTAGAAACAGGACTCCACTGGCTGTTCTTACATGTAAGTGAGGAATAAAATCACTTACGGTAAAAAATAGCTACAGTTTAAGAACAATTACAACTGAACCTTAAGCATTTTGTGCTCCCCCTCCCCCTTTTATTTTTAATAAACTTTAGCCTGGAGGCTGCTAAGTATATATTAAAAAACACCCAAGACATAAACCACCCAAGACATACATTTTAAAGACTAATTTAAAAGCTGGAAAACAGTATTTCATTTAGGTTTTTGCCTAGTTAGTAAAATTCTATTGACTTGGATGGGGATTAGCAATTCACACCCTCTATTCATATTACAGCAGAGCCAGACCAAGTAATTGCTCACTGTGAACATTTAAAAATGGAGAAAAAGAGGTCTCGTACATTAAAAAAAAAAACCAAAACAAAACAAAATTCAATCCTGTACCTCCTAATACCCTCTTGACTACTGTATCTTACCTTGCATTAGCAAAACTACCAATATTTTATAGCGATAATTAGGTCTTGAAAGATGAAAATCAAAACACAAACCCATCACAAATAGCACAGAAAAAATCCCCAACTTCTTAGTAAGGGTTACCTATGATGAACTGAAAATTATTTTCTGCCTTTCACTCACCTGTGGCACACATACCATCTAATAAAACCTGCCTCTCCAAACATAAAATTATGACCTATGCAATTCAGTTAATCATTGTGAAATATCAACTGAATTTCGTAATAGCACTGCAAACCACAAGAAACCCTTGTCCCAGTACTGAATACCAAGAGACAGGCTGCACTTCACACAGTATGAGAAGTGTCAAAGAGACAAATGAGACTGTCTCACATAGAAGCGAGATAGTATTTACAAGATTCAGGTTTAAGGCAACAGACTAACGATCACTACAAATAAAGACAGCCAAAATAAGAACATTGGTGCCATGCGATCTGAACAGTCGGAAAATCAATTACTGAACTGCAGCAGCTGACTGGTCCTGTGAACGCCATCGCCGTCGCTTTCCTTGCCTGCAGTTGAAAAGTCGGCAGCAAGGGTAGAAGAGAAATTCCTCACTGCCAGTGAATGCTCGTACCATGGTAACAGTTTAAGCACTACTCCTAACTGTCTCTAGAATTGGGCAAAGTTTTCCAAAGTGTGATTTCTGTGACAATTTTAATCACCATTAGCTGAGAGTAAAATAAAGCCAGTAAAGATGAAAAAAGGAAGAAAATTTAAATTTTTATTCAATTTGAATACAGCAGATTCTTATTAAATCACAAGGATTGCATATAAAGCTCAGTGATTCTCCATGCCTTTCCACAATGCAAATTTTACTTCAAAATGTGTCGATTACTACCTGAAAAAACCTCTCATGCTCCAAGAGAACGAAACCTCCAATAAGGATCCAGAGCCTTCCTGATGCTCTTTGAAACAGCTTTCCCAAAAATTCAATCTTTTCTTAATAAAGCTAATAGTCATATAGATATTAAAAATATAACCTGTCAAAAGCTCTTCCCACCTTTTTTTGTGTTATACATTAAGCGAGTGTTTACTTTAAAATTCTGCTATATTTAGTTACCAATGCAAAGAAACAGGCAAAATGGTGTAATATGCTAATGCAGATCCCTCATCTGCATCTTCAAAGATTTAATTAATCTATTTATAGATAAGCAAGAGTAAAGGTGTTTCACTAGCTGTAACATACATGTGAAGGGAGGCCTTATTGTTATATTACTGTTAATTGCTTTATTTGAGAGTCTCTCTAGAATTCCTTCCAAGTCTACACTTCAGTCTTAAGACTTCTACAGATTATGACATTTATGTATATCATTGTTCAATATTTAATGCCAATGGATGTTCTGTGCTTTTGGAAGGCATTGTTGTTACTTTATTGCAAGTTCCATGCAGCCATAAAGCCTCAGGTGCAATAAGTGATATTGTTCTCACCTGAAGAACTTGGGAGTTTAAGACCATGACACAACATGTAACAGGAAAAGGGCATCAGAAGCCTGAATCTTAAGCTATTAAATGATATTTTTTATTATGAAGTCAGCAATGTACTACTTCTTATCAGGCTTACAGTTAACACACTGGATGCCAATACATAACTATGAAAATATGAGCCTCTGTCATTTTGATCTCTGAACAGTGACAGTAACAAGAACAGACTGTTCCTTAGTAATTACCTCTAATGCCTTGTGGTAAAATATCTTAGCAACCCTGGAATATTCTGAAGTCTTAAGATCCACACCACCTCCTGGAAAAAGTACCCTGAAAGGCAACATCCAAGAATTTGATTAGCAACAGTGATCAAATTAAAACCTGGACAATAAACACAGAAAAAGGTCTGATAGTTGTTTTAAGGTCTAGGTTAAGCCACCTACATTTCAGATGTTTACAGATAGGCATCTAAGCTTCCATTACAGACAGCAGGGATCTAGTCAGAAAAGTCAATGGAGACTTCAGAATATGTTCCAGAGCGGACACCCACTAGTGTGGGCTCCACTGACTATCCTGACTGGCACTCCATGGGAGTTTAGACAGCTAGCGCACACACAGCCAGCTGAGTTCAGGTGTCTGAGTCCTTAAGAGAACCACATCCTGAAGTACAAGTAGTGATAGAGCCTAGTGCAAGATAAGGAAGAGGAAACAGAAAATACACAAAACATACAGATTTCAGCTGGCATACAAAAGGGTTACATGCCACGACTGCATCAAATCCTGTCCTGACTCTTAGCTGTCTCTCCCTACTACTTTCAAATCCTGGCCCCAATCTTACTTCATTGTGTTCAACTTCAGAAAAGAAGAATTATCGCCCTGGCAGAGAGCCCTTACTGCATCAAATAGTTCCTATTAAAAGGAAAAAAAGTACACTTGGCCATAATCCTTGGTCACACAGGATCTAATGCAGCCAAAAAAGACAAAGCAATCTCAGAGACTATTTCAAAGAAATAGTGCATGAACTTTTTCCAACACACACACACACACACACACACACACACACAAGCAATGGCAATTCTCCCCAAACCCAAACATCATAAAAAAAAAAGTACAGTACAGATTTCACATGTACATGTAATGACATGGAAAGGAATCAAGTACCATCAGAGACAGTTAAGATGAAATAAAGGAAGTCTCTTCTGGTTGTAACTGAAACAGTACCCACAGAACTGCCAGAACTGAATGTGTAAGTGCTCCCTAAGCCACTGCATCAGAACCTCAACTACATTTACTTGAGCCACATCCATCAGTTCCTGACCTTCTACTAAAACAGCTGAAGGATTTCCTATACATTTCTGTGCTCTGGAAATGGCAACCTGTATCAGTGAGATACAAACAAGCACCTAGAAACAACTAGCATCTCAAATGATGCCAAGCACTTGGAGAGCAAGTGTGCATTTAAACCCTTGTGACCAGGCTTACTTTAGGGTGAAAGATGCACAGGATCATGCAAAAGGCACCAAGTATTTGGTAGAAAAGTAGAGCAGTATTCACAAAAACATAAATCAGATTACTCTCCAGTGCCAATATATAAAATGAATACAGCTGAAGTAATTTTCAAAACAGGCCAGATTATAGATTCCTACAGGAATCTAGTTAAAAAAAAAAAAAAAAGGTTTTCTATCACCTGGAAGTGGTAGAAAATTCATTTCAACTGTTCCTTTTGTTCAACCCCAAAACTGGCCAATACTAACTAGGAAAAACAATTGTCCTTTCTGCTAATGCAAAAAGGAAGTAACCTATTAAGTAGCAATGATAATGGCTTGGCATTGTCATAAGCAGATTGAAATGCAGCTACCTGCATTCCAGTATCTCTAACTGGTTAGAGCTGATGATGTTCACTGGAATTTCAAAGGCTATCTCAGGAGTACATGGCTATATTCATAAAATTCTGTCTCTACTATAGTAAACTTCAGGATTTTCATAAGGTTGCATTTAATAACAATTTCCAACTACAAAGAATCTGGAGCTAAGCAATTACAGTATGAAAGATCAATGTATCTCTTTCTTAGTCTAAGTTTCCACAGAATGGGAAGTCCTTCCCTCCAGAGATCTTATTTGTTATTTACACACAGCTATATTGTGGAAGCCATCAGCTGACAGTGGAGGACAAGAAATACAGATAGATCATCCTTACCCACCTACATAGCACAAACCCAACTGCCAGTCACTGCAAAGACGAAAGGATAAGGGAACTGGATCTACTTGTCCAACACCCTCTCCTGTATAGAGGCAGGTGGTGAGATAGAAAGAATGGGAGACCCCACAGGTGATAGTCCTTTTGGCAACCAAAGAGAGGCTGGCAGCCACGAGAAAGGGATGAGTCATTTTGTCTCCAACATGAGAAGCCACAGAGGAAAGTGTCACTGTCTTATTCTTGCTTTGTACCACAAAGACTGTAAGACATATGTCTTAGTGGACAGGGCACGCTGTGAAGCGTAAGAGGATGATGCTCTCCCCAGACAGCCACAGGTCTGAAACTCCACATGTTGATTAACATTCTAGTATAGGCATAAGCTTAACAGAAATATTCATAGTTTAAGATGCTCATCTCATGACTACAAGTATCCCAATCACATGCTATGGGCTCACAGTCAAGTCTGAAGTGCAGCATCAGCTGATTTAACTCTTTGAAACTGCACTTTTAGCACCCGGGAAACATAGTTTTGACTTTGCATAGTCCACGATTAAAATGTGTTAAATTAGATCACATTATCCCACATTTAAGGTGCAGGAGGAACACATGGGTGGACAGTTGCCATACGTCAACTGAGAAGTTAGAATATTTATCTAACAAAGACTTAAGCCACAGAATCACAACAGGCAAGAAGGGCCACTCAAGCAGCAAGAGATAAAGTACCCAAAGAGAAAAGGGTAGAAGAGACTGGAAATCAGAAACTTTTATGATAAAGCAGATATAGAGAAGACTGGAAAAGAGAAGGAAGGGGAGGCACAGGGATGAAACACCCAGCAAGTGCTATTAAATATCAAAATGAAGATGATTACTCAAATAAGGAAGAGGAAAAAATAACAAAGAGGAAGTGGGCTACTTCACTTGTAAAACTGTTAACCACTGTAATGCCACTTCTGTCTGCCTGCAGACAAGCACAGGAGAATGCCAAGATGAGCCTTGGCACTGTTGCAGATTATCTGATGTGTGCTCCTCAAGAAAGGAAAGGCAGAAGACCGGAACGGGACAAATTAGTGCGCTCTCTGCCTCAGAACATGTTTATATGCCTGCAGTGCTCAGCACTAAATCTCAAGAGAGAATGACAGTGTTCTTGGGAATACAGAAGAGCTCAAAACCAGAACTATCAAGTCTTTCAACAGAAAGTCAGTGCTCAAAACTTACCCATTAATAAAGTGGAATATTTTATCATATTCTTCATCTGTAAGATTTAATCTGAAACACCAAGAAAGTAGTTACAGAACACATATGAAATATACATATTTAACCACAAAAACATTGTTACTGAACAGAAACATGAGAATGGAAAGTAAGTAGAAAGCATGCTTTAAATAAAATAAAATAGATCCTAATCAAATGAAACGTTTCACTTGAAACAGCTCAATCCACAAGACTGAAAACAGGACCCTGTCAGGTACAGTTGAGGATTAGGTACTCTGAGACCCCTTTGCAGACACTTGTTAAATTTCACATTTACATGAACGACATGGTTATCTCCTGCAGACCGGCAACTCCGGTTTCCAATTGACTCCAAGAAGGGCAGAGCTGCAAACAGTGGGTCACACCCATTCTTTAACAAAGATATAGCTGAGAGGCGGAAAGATGAGAAAGACCTCAGCATCAGCAAAACATCAGCAAGCCAGTATGACAGCTACGCTCATGCAGAACTGATACACTGGATATACTGGAAGTGTCCAGCTTTCCTGCATCTAACTTAGTTGCCAGAATCAGAAGCCTGAATTCATCAATGAAGCTTCTGGTCAGAAACCATTCTGAAAGCTCCACCAGCTACACGAGGAGCACTGGCTTCTAATTCAGGCACTTAACTAGTGCTCTTATTGGACTGTGTGGATTAGATACATCCCATTGTGATTTTCTGGAGCTGCATTAGTATAATTTTTAACTTCTGACAATTACCACTTCAACATCTGATTTTAGTGCATTTGCTATTTTATAGCTAACTGTTGGCTATGAAGTACTGCCAGTTCTGTTAATTACTCTGCTACTTTTTACGCAGCAACCAAAATACACCACCACATGGAGTTAGCGACCCATAGTTTGAACAGAACTGGACTTTGGTTTCTTAAAGGAGTTCCGACAGCCTTCCTCTATTGAATTCCAGCACGACAGAATGTGACAAAAGATAGTACGTATATACATATATACATATCTAGATATCTGTTTGTGGGGCACTACACATCAGACAATATAGTTAACTTCAAAACCCATGGACGCACACTATGGAGGATAATTTTACAGGTTAAAACCCAGTCTTTTTCAAAGAAAACTTATTATCATAAGAAGAAATATTAAAAATTACATGTTCCAGTCTTTTATCCTGATTTCTAAAACACCCTGCAAATTGTGGCATCTTCAAATAGTCTCTGAGGAGCTCTAAACACTCTGAAAAGCAGCACAACTGCCTTCTGTGCCTCTAAGATGATACGCTTACATTAAACAATTATTATCCACTTTTAAGGATATAAAAAAATCTACCTTATTGGCACAACCCGGGCACCAGCAGACTCCAAAAACTTCACATATGAAGCTGCAATGTAAGAACTTCCAAATCTGTGGAACTTCTCGAAGTGACATTCCTGTGACAAGATCCCTGCAGAGTCCAAGAAAGAGAATTAGCACTACACAAATAGCAAACACTGCACACTGGAAGAGAAATTAAACTCCAATTTCCTGTATGCCAGGTTACAGTGTTACATTTACTGCCTGAAAGAATTACAAACACTGAGACAATTGGGCATCAATTACGATGCCTGGTTATGAGGTACCAAATAAACAAACATTATCTGACTAAGACTCAGCTTCCCTGCTTTAACTGTTTAGTACTACAACTTCTCTTAAATACCGTAATTTCAAGAGTTTTAAACAAGGTACGTGTAGCGTAACACTATTTATAAAAGCTTTAACCAAACCCAGGCTCCGGGAGACCTTTGACTCCACGCAGAAGCCGGCAGGGTTTCAGGTCTGCTGCAGGAGCCGTTCCACCCCCTCGCCCCCAGGCCGGCGGAGGCAGCCTGCGAGGCTCCCGCTACCGCCGCCTTACCCTGGGCCGGCCGGGAATTCCCGGGGAGCGGCCGCCGGCAGCTGCGGGTCACCGCCCCGCCGCCCCTTACCAATGATGGGTCTCTCGTTGCCCTCCGCCGGGCGGCCGCGCT